TGGAGGGTTTGTTGACAGTGACGTCAGGCAATGGGCGGTTTTGCACCATTTTGCATGAATTGCGTTGGTCCCTGTAATTTCTCAGAATTTCTCAGGTGGATGGAACCTTTTCCAATTAAGATGTGGTCAGTTAGTCTGGATATGTCGGGCAGTGAAGTCACTACAGAGATATTTCACTACGTTCCCAATTTTTCACACGGCGGTCGATATTGTGAAAAATAAAAAAAACCGATTTCTCCGTTCCCAATTTCTGACTTAGTAGTCGAGTGTATAAATGGATATTTCTCTGTGATTAGAAATCGGAATAATTAGAAATTAACACATTAAACTCGTATTTGTAACATATGCTGTAAAAAAGCGCGTCAGGGATTGTTAATTAAGTGGGTAAAATTTTATGAGTTATGTCTTCTTTAATTCGCTAAAATTTTAGGCAGTTTTTTCATTTTATTCTCAGGTAAAATATGCAAAAGTTCATGAAAAATTCCTGATGCGGCTAATTTTGGTCCATATTGTTGCTTAACATGTGGCGAAAATTTTGGTATCGCTCGTCTTTATGGTAACTTGAGAATATACAAAATACAATTTTACATGAAAAATTCATATTTTGTGTGTTAACCATCACCATTTAGGTGGCTGGAAAATTTCATGAACATTTTTTGGGCTTACAGCATAAGAAGATATATCTCCTCATATATAAAACAAGTGATTGATTCGATTCATTGTCAATAAAACGTTTAATCTTCCATTGAGAATCGCCGTGAAACGTGGAAGAAAGGCAGTACCCGTGAAAGAAAGAAGGTACCCGTGCAAAAGGTCCTTAACAGAATTCCGTTTTCCTTTCTTCTTTTACTGTATGCATAGGGAACGCATGTTCTGTTGAATGTATTGTAAACAAATTTATTGATCTCCAATTTCACTGGCGCGTGATTAACGTTGAATTGCATTTCTATAAGATTCATGTGTATTAGTAAGTTATGTATACTAAACTATTTATGGATCTATCTCCTAGAATTATCACTCGTTCATTACTTTTAATCTACGGTAACGGGAATTTCGTGCTCACATGAACTTGTTCAGGTATGATCTGAGCAGACATAAAACTACCAATTTCAATAATCTTTTAAACTTTGTTGGAAAAATATTTCTTGCAGCATAATCTTGAATACCTGAAGACGAACGTTTTGAAATTGTACAGACAAGGTAAAATGGTTACTTTGTTCATTGCATGGGCGTATGAAATTGAAAGACGCATTTGAAGATGGTGTGTGCAATACGTATAACGGAAAAATCACTTGATATAATGACTGTTTTTTCATAAACAGGTTATTTATTTAGCGTACAATATTCTAAACATACTGGTGGCCTCAGTACTTGGTGACGGTCGGTCTTTGTCTAGACACCGGGTTTAGCTAGGGAAAAATCAGGAGTCTCAATCGTGAGAAGGGGGGAGGATGGATGCGGCACGCAGCGCCCTAGGGGAGGTGTAGGAAAACTGACAGTATTTATTTTAATGCAGGGTAAAATTGGGTCGCCCTAATCGCCGACTCTATCAATATTTATCCATCTCATTCAGATAGGTCGTCCAACTAGACAGGAGCAGGTCTCTTGGCTAAACACTGATGAGACAGCTGCACTCTGTATGAGCCATGAACTATCTAACATATATATTTTTCACGCACGCACGCACGCACGCACATACGTACGCACGCACGCACGCACGTACGCACGCACGCACGCACACATCGTAACCTTCTCTCGTCCTGTAACTCAGGCTGCACGTACGCACGCATGCACGTACGTTCGCACGCACGCACGCAGGCTTAATTACACGTGTAATGATTAGATTTATCTCCCTCGTATACGTGTACTCTCGTGTGTGTTGGTGTGTGTGTGTGAGATCGTATGTGTGTGTGTGACTAGTGTGTATAATGTATACCATGCGATGTTCTAACCCAAAGGTCCTTGCTTGGTGCGGGTAATTACGAATTAATTACCCTGAGGTTAGCATAAAATAGTAGACAGACAAGACGTGTACGTACAACAATATATATATATGTCTATTTTCTTATCACCAGTTAAAGACAAGCATACAAGGGTTCGTTCGTCGTGTTAGTCAAAACCGCAAACGGTGCACACTTCGCAGCGTGACTAGAGTGGTTAGTTAAATGTACAATATACGCATTTTTTAACTAGTGCTACGTCTCCCTCTCACTATGTTTTACCGTACGGCACATAGAATGTACTACTTGTTTCTCATAAACTATCAACAGAGTTAATATATATGATAACAGAGATAAGCACAGTAGATAACAAGGTGCGATGACTCAAAGTAGTTTAACGAGAGAGAGAGACAACCATAATGTAGCACTAATACGATAAGACCAATTGATACATACCAGATGTGTCCGTAAAGAGTGAACTGAACTTTGTGTCCAGACACACGGCTTATATTCAAAATTTAAAGGTAATTAGCCTCCTACGTGACGTGCGTAGAGACCTCGACACGCCTATCGAGAACCGCGGCTCAATGGAACGGTGGAACGGTCAAACTGACCGTTCCACAGGCCTGCATGCCAAGGCACGACTGAGCTTAATTGTCCCTGCTTAATTGTCACTAGGACCACTCTCGTCTGACTCTGCATACTAACCTTTAGGCTAGTCGGTGGTTTACATTTTCTTAATTACTTTCTCCTAATCAACTTTCTTTTCATGATAATATTCGCTTCATTACACACGCACGCACACATCGTAACCTTCCTTCGTCCTGTAACGCAGGCTGCACGTACGCACGCACGCACGTACGTTCGCACGCACGCACGCTTACACGCACGCATGCACGCACACATCGTAACCTTTCATCGTCCTGTAACGCAAGCTGCACGTACGCACGCACGCACACACGCACGTACGTACGCACACACGCACGCTTACACGCACGCACGCACACATCGTAACCTTCCCTCGTCCTGTAACGCAGGCTGCATGTACGCACGCACGCACGTACGTACGCACGCACGCACATACGTACGCACGCACGCACGTACGTACGTACGTACGCACGCACGCACGCACACATCGTAATCTTCCCTCGTCCTGTAACGCAGGCCGCACGTACAGTGAGAAGTGCGACGTCTTCAGCTGGGGAGTCATACTCTGGGAGGTGCTCACGCGACGATTACCCTACGTCGAGTTCAGCGAATCCGACTGGGCGGTCTTGTGGGCCGTCACCAAAAACAAGCGGCCCCCCCTGGTGGCCGGAATCCCAAGGTCGCTCGAGACGCTCATGGTGAGGTGAGCGTTGCCGCGGCGACGACGAAAAACGGTCGACGGCGACGACTTGATTGGTCGATTGTCCGGATGTTTAATCGCGCGATCGAGTTTCGCGTCTGTGCCAGTTTCCGGTTGGTGCCGTCACGTCGATATTTGGAAGATAGTTTTTTGTTAAAATAGTTTGTTCTTGTTGATTTATTTTTGCAGTGTGGAGGTTTTTGTTGTTGTTATTTTTGTTTTGTTTTGTTCTGGCCGTTGCTGCATAACCACGGTATAGTTACTTGTTGTCGTTACAGATGCTGGGATAAGGAGCCAACTCAACGACCTTCAATGCTAAAGGTCACAGAAGTCATGACACACATCTCCTCCTTCTTCCTCTCTCCCCTCGATCCGCTAGCCTACCCGAGAGAAGAAGGTAGGTCTCCTCTGCCTCGTTCTCCTTATTTTGCTCCTCCTCTTTCTTCCTTTCCCCTCCTTCTCTTTCTTCCTTTCCCCTCCTCCTCTTTCTTCCTTTTTCCTCCTCATTTTCCCTCATATTTTCCTCTTACTCTTCCTCCTCGCTCTTCTTCTGCCCATCCTTTTCCCCCTTCCTATCTTCCTCTTCCTCCTCCTCCCCCTCGTCCTCTTCCTCGCTCTCCTACCTATTTACGCCTTTTTTTGGCGAAGAACTTTTTGACCCTCAAATATTTTGTGATGAGCGAGAGAGCGAGAGAGCGAGAAAGAGAGAGAGAGAGAGTGAGAGAGAGAGAGAGAGCGAGCGCGAAAGAGAGAGAGAGAGAGAGAGAGAGAGAGAGAGAGAGAGAGAGAGAGAGAGAGAGAGAGAGAGCGCGCGCGAAAGAGAGAGAGAGAGAGAGAGAGAGAGAGAGAGAGAGAGAGAGAGAGAGAGAGAGAGAGAGCACATGATGTCTCGACGCACTCCTGACCTCGAAATCTCATGTACTCACAACTACATGACCTTGTGACCCGGTGACCTCCTAATCTACTGACCTCCTCACCTCCTGACCTCGGGACATCATACGCCCGATAAAACGAATTTACATTGTTACGGCTCACTCGCACGCTAACGTCGTCATCACGACCCCTGACCTCCTGACCTCCTGACCTCGTAACGTCTAGCAGGTCAAAAGGTAGAGGAAGCCTCCCACGGCTCGCTGTTCTCACCGGAGGCGCCCCCTGGTGGCGATCATGACGGCAGCGCCAGCGCGTCCGACATAATCCTGCCGGTAAACTCCGACCAGGCGGTCACCGTGCCCAGCAACGTACGGCTGGCGAGGCCGCGCGTCGTAGAGGTGAGAGAGAGGGAGAGAGGAGGAGAGGGGGAGGGAAGAGGGGGAGAGAGTGAGAGAGAGAGGGGGGAGAGAGAGAGAGTGCGAGAAAGAAAAAGAGACGGAGAGAGAGAAAGAGAGAGAGAGAGAGAGAGAGAGAGGGATAGCGATAGAGAGAGAGAGAGAGAGAGAGACAGAGAGAGAGAGAGAGAGGGAGGGAGAGAGCGATAGAGCGAGCGAGAAAGAGAGAGAGAGAGACAGAGAGCAAGAGAGAGAGAGAGAGAGAGAGAGAGAGAGAGAGAGACAGAGAGAAAGAGACGGAGAGCGAGAATGAATGATAGAGAGAGAGAGAAAAAGAAAACGAGAGACAGCAATCAAAACTAATCAAGTTAATTAAGACGTTATTAATTACGTAATTTTTACATATGTCATATGAAATCCGTCATTGTCACTAAATCAAAATTACTTGCCATTAATTTTCGTCCAACATTTGCAATGGAAACGAAACTGTCGAAAGAGGTGAGTGTTTGCTATCTAACTAACGCTGAATGGGTCGTTGTCGTATCAGGTACTACAGATATGTACCCGAGGTACGTATATGTATACACAAGTGTACCAGACTTGTATCTTCATAGCATATGCATATATGTACCCTATGTTTACATAAACGTACCTGCCCCGGAGATGGAGATCGAATGAAGACGGTCATGGAGAAGGAGTATGGGGCAGGAGGAGGAGGAGGAGGAGGTGAGGAGCGAGGAGGGGAAAAGGTGATTGAAGTAGGGAGACGCGAGGCGGAGGGGAGGAGGAGGAGGGGAGAAGCGGGGAGAGGAAGCGAGTAGGGGCAGGAGGTAGGCAGGAGGAGGAGGAGGCAGGAGCGAGGGAGGAGGCAGGAGAGGAGAAGTGTGATGGAGATCGACATCGACGGTACATGGAGGAGAGTAGCGGAGCAGCAGGAGTAAGAAGGAGGTTTTTATTGTTGGCGGCCGGTAGGAGGAGGAGGAGAGAAGGAGGGGGAGAAGGGGATGGAGAAAGAGTAGGGGGGGGAGCCACGTCAGGGAGAGCGAGGAGGAGGAGGAGGAAAATGTGATCGGAGTGGGGAGGAGAGGAAGAGGAGAGGAGAGGAGGGAGCTGAGAAGGTGATAGGAGACGATCGAACTGAAGACGGTCATCGAAGGAGGAGTAGGCAGGAGGGCCGCGCCGAGGAGGAGAGAGGAGGCAAGAGGTAGAAGGAGGGTGGGAGAAGGTGACCTGGAGTACGTAGGGGAAGGATGTAGAGGACGGAGGGGAATGAGGGGATGAGGAGGAGCCGGCAGAAGGTTGATGGAGATCGATATGAAGAACCAGCCTGGTACTCCGCGGAGGCGTTTACCGAAGTATGGAGGAGGAGCCCCGGAATAGGGGGCAGTGAGCGAGGCAGAGCGAGGGGAAGAGGAGGAGGAGAAAGGGGAGAGAAGGTGTGGAGTAAGGGTGGAGGAGGAGGAGGAGGAGGAGGAAGGCGTGGGAGGAGGGCGGAGGACGGAAGAGGAGGGAGGGGCAAGACAGTCGATAGATGAGGCAGAGGTAAGAAGGTGATCCTACCCTCCTAACTCCTTCATCCATCATCCCTTCTCCCCCCTCCTGCCTCACTCCCTCCATCCATCACGTTCTTCTCCCTCCTTGCCTCTTCCTCGATTCTCCTCCCGCACTACTTCCATCACCTTCTCCTCTCTCCTCCTCCTCCTGTCCTCCTCTCCTCGTCCCCCTACATCCCACCGTCTCCAGCCTCCTGCCTTTTCCCGTCCTCCCTCCTCTCCCTACTCATCAACTTCTCCCCGACCGTTCCTCCTCATTTCATAGCGGCAAACTTCCCATTTTCGGATTTTCTAATAGCATAAAACTTCCCCAGTTGCCTTCACATTTGTGAGTTTAAACGTACCAGCATAGTGCTG